TTTTTTTTTTTTTTTTTTTTTTTTTAGAACGAGGTGAGACGAGTAAAGAGACATGCACAAGTCCTTTAAAAAAGGGTTGATAACAAATTGACTATTGAGGTGGGCCTATTTGCTAAATGGTCGGAGTTAACCCTTCTTAGTACTCTGTTTTTTTTTTTTTAATTATATATATAAATAAGGTTGAAAGAAACAGTGATTCAAAAAAACAATCACAAGATCATTTGGTTATGAGATGCTTGATATTAAGATTTGAAGGCCTGGGTAAGAGGTAAGATCAATGAAGCGCAGTAAACAAGAAAACGATAAAGAGGCCAAAACAATAAGTCAAATAATTTGTGGCTGTTTAAATGATTTGCCGAATATATATATATATATATATAATTATTTCTCCCCCCCTGCTCTACTTCTTTTCGCCTTTTTTTTTAATTTTTAAATAGGGTTATCTCGAAGAAATTGCAAAACACTATTGGAAAGGAAAGCGAGAAGCCGACGTCAAAGAAAAAAGAAGTCAGCCGTACGCATCACACAGGCATACTGCAGAATGGCAACATACCAAGTATGTGAAAAACTCGGAATTGAAACTCGGAAAAAACTCTTCGGAAGATAGTCAAGTCGAACCAAGAGTAGAGCAGCCATAGCCTATGGGGCTATGGGAGCTCGAGTCTGGCAGCCCTCTACCGGTTTCAGCCGGAGCCAGAATCCGGCCTCATCAAGAGGGAAAGCGCAACTCCGAGTCGAGTGTGAATCCTAGAGTGCTAATAAATATTTGCTGATCTACTCAAGAAGCAAACACTGTATGGAAAAATTGCACCGCGTGCAGTCCTCGCGGAAGTTTCATCCTACTCCAGTCCCTCTACTCAGGAGGAACCTTCCCCGTGTGGAAATTTTTACCGCCTATGAGTTCCACCTTTTCCCAGTGATCTCGTAGATCAGTAATACCTCTGGCCTCGTATGAAAAAGCAGAAACAGAAGGGACAGAAACAAAGGACAAAAAAACAAAAAATATATACTCAGCCTATCGCCGCCACTTCGGATTTATTAAGAGGCCTATGTAAATCTTCAGTAGTATCTCGAGATTTTCCCAGCTCTGAGATTCTAACCTGCCGAGCCAACTGTCTGTCGGCGCTACTTTTGGATTTATCAAAAAAGCCCCGTGTAAATCTGCAGCAATATCGAAGGAATCGGAAAAAAAATATATACTCCTAGGTTATCTGTCTTATCCTCAGAGAAAACGTTTGTATTCACAGTTCGCCTGCCGGGTTCAGTATTCCTTCCCGCCAGTTTTAACTGCTGCGTAACCTCGTAACTTCGTTTTTGTCAGCGAAAAAATTAATGAAGCGGTAAAACGGTACACGTCTTTAGTGTTTCCAAAATCTTTGAAAATCTCGTTGCAGACCCAGAGAAGAAAAAAGAAAAGGGAARAAAAATTCCCTTTTCCCTTTTTCTTTTYTTGKCTGTTACCTTACCAGCCGCAATATTGATTTCCCCATTTCTTCCATGACGGCGCTCGTTTACGGATAAATTTACCTAGACAATCTTCGAAATATTTACGAGGGTAGTCCTGCAATCTCAGGAGTCRTTTCAAGGTGAGTAGTCTTAGACCTACGAGTCTCACATCCGATGTCATTGTGTAAATCCCGTGGAGGCAGCATGTGACGATAGCCTTTTTCTGTGGGACAGGTGAATAGGAGCTGAAGTCCTGGATCGTTGTAAAGGTGAGTTCTTCCTTTTTCCAAACTTCTCTGAAATTCCTTTGGACTAACTGGGTCGTTACTTTGTTCCTTGATTCCAGTCTAATCCTCGTTCCCATAAATTCTCATTCGTTGTTCCCTTCATCCGTTCGTTCTAGTGAGAACGCCTTATCGTATGCAGATTGAAAATGATTGATGATAGCAATTGCTTTTCGAATTCCTTCCTTTCCGTTATTCCAAACAAATATGGATACGTCGTCCATTAGGTGTGTGCCCTTTATCAATTTCCTATCTACCCCCAGGTTAGACAGAAAAATAGATTCATTGTAAGCGTATAGGATGCATGCTAGAGGAGCGCTAGTACTTTTTCCCATTGAAAGTCCTGTTTTCTGTCTGATTAATCTGTCAGCCACCATAACATACGTGTTCTGGAGCTCAAAGTTGATCATGTCATGAATTTCCTTAAAGCTGATAGTTATCCAACTGTCATATCCATTCTTCACAGAAAAAGAGGTACCATTTCCTTGTCTTTTCACTGATAGCTTATCTTTCTCTCTTTCCTCATAGAAGTTCAGTATCCAGTCAAGTGCTATTAAAATCGAGTTATGTGGCAATCGATTGAACATTTCCTTAATATCGAATGAAGCACAGAGCAAGTTTCCTCTCTTCTTTGTTCTTGTCCAGTTGTTAACTTCCATGATTCTCCGTACTAACAATTCCGTCGACTTCATATTGAAATGTATGCTCTTTGGTAACATAAATAAGAGGTGATTAAGGGCGCGTGTCACTCGGCTTCCTGCTAGTCGCGATGGTTCTGAGAAAGAAGGGCTAATGGGGCGAAACTTACACAGATCCTTATTTTTAGGGATAATATAAGCTCGTGCACATTTTCATGATCTGTCCCATTTACCGATTTTAGTTAGGCCCGCCTCTTTGAATTTCTTTTCACATTTCACCAAGGTTTCGGCTTCAGTTCTCCACTCTGAGCAAAAACTTTTATTTCCTCAAAATACATCCTTCATCCCTTTTGCGTAGACCTAGGACACATAATTACAGTTTCCGTTGGGTTCTTGTCCACTGATGTAAGTATAAAGTTACGTCCAAGTTTTTTCAGATAGGCCAAAGAGCCTTGGTCATAATTACTTAAAGTAGGTGAAGCATTTAAGCAACTTAATACATCGGCTTTCAACAGCGGGGTGTATATTCCCATCTTCCGCACGACGTTATTAATCTCTGCTAATATTCTAATTTCCCTTCCCTTTTGATCCGGGTAAGCAATATTTCTAGCGTTCTTGACAAAGGAATCTAAATCTTTCATATTGCTTAGTCTGCATATCACGTGTCCTCCCATAGTTGGGGGGTTAGATTCTGCACATGTGCAGATTCCCACCGGGTTCTGTGCAGCAGTCCGGTGGTTGTGGAGAATCTCAGCAACTGATCTGTTCTTGCGCCAGACAGTTCAGAGCTTCTTACACATGAATACAGCTTCGGCAAGAGGAAGACAGTTCATTAGGTGGTCTGTCACAACTCTCCTTATCCCTTTCTTTCGTATTCCACTATCGTATGAGATATATATACAATGTTTACGACGAGTATTAAAAGCAAATTTTCTCCACAGAACTCCCCCTAATAAGTCCCTTAGATTACTGCGATATATCGTTTTAGAAAATAGGTCAATAGCTTGAAAGAGATCTAATAATTCTTCCAAGGTACATTTATAAAGCTTTTTTTTTGCCCAGGGGTTTTTTAGGAGCTTATGCAGGTTCCCTTTCAGTTCTCTATTTCATTTAGAAAGAGTTCCTCCTTTCAGACAGCGAAGTGTAAAAATTCCTCCTTCTTCCAATTTTCCTTTTAGTTCGGGTAACAGGATTATAGAAGTAGAGGTACATGTCGAGAAAGTACTATGTCCAATCTCCCGTAACACTACTTTCCAGTCAGGTATCCAGATCTTTCCACCTGACGAACGTAGTATTCCATCCCCTTCGGATGCGTTCTTACAAATGTTAATAAGATTAACGGATTCTAGGTTTTTAGACTTAAAAATGATAGGTCTTTCTTCTGAGTAAATATTACGTCTAGAATTTTTACGTTCCTTTCTACCCTTACGATTAGGCTTACTAGAGTTAGTTCTTTTTTTAGAGCAATTTAGTGAAGGTGACCATCTTTTAATAAATACCCTTTCTACATTGAGCAGATCATGATCAGGGACAAATGAAATAGGGAGGGCAATATAGTTCTTACACCCCCAGTTCCGTAGCCAGCTATATAGCCTTGAGTTGTTAGTTGCATGTAGGTTATTTGTTCTGTAGACATGTTCATTCCAATGGTCATGCAGTGACCTTGACGTCTGCCCTATGTAGGTTGCGCGACAACCGGGATCTAAGAGGACATAAACACAAGAAGAGGGGTTTTCCCATTTAACTAAATTATTTTCGATCATGTAGACCCAGTCTTCGAGAAATTTTGTTCCCCATTTAATTTCCCCTCTACTAACCAGAATTACTACGCATATTCTCAGGATCTTTTCAATTTCTAATCTAAGGTTTTTTAAACCTACTTCCTTCCTTCCAGATAGCTGGTGGCGTAGACTTAGGTAGAACCGTAAGTCATTCCATGCATGACTCATCGGACGGATCCCGATGTTCGATCGGGTTTGTTGGCGTCCTTGGTGTACGTGTTGTGCTTGCAGGTGGCTCGCGGATGACAATCCCTCCTTGTCGTGGTGTACGTGGTGGCTTGTAGAAATGCATGACTCGGAGTTCAATTAGTTCGTCGACCGCCTCTGGTCGTCCACGATATGAAACTCCCGCTTCCCTGCACATCTCTTGGATCGTCGGGACGCTCAACTTCATCAGGAACTTCCTTATCTACTTCCTGAAGGCGGCTTCGATCTTGCTGTCTGCGTCCACAGGGGCACCCTCCCATAGTGTAGATTCGTAGCCTTCTCTACGAGTTTTGTTTCTTCCTCTTGGTGCTTGTGCGTCTGCCACGACCTCGTTTTCCTCCATCACACGTGTTGGTGGGTCGATAGTAATACTTGGTCGTCCGATCTTGGCTGGAGTGCCAGCAGGGCTTGCTTGTCCACTTGATGTCTGACCCTGCTGTCGTTTTCGCTTCTCTAATCTTTTATCCTCAATCTCTTCTTCATCCTCTTCAGATGACGGCGAAGTAGGTTGCGGCGTGCTCTGCCTTGCCTTTGCTTTAACTGCCCTCTCACTTATCATCACCCCTTTCAACCTGTTCTTGAGTCTTCTCTCAAACTCTTCTTCCATCGACTCTTTCTGTTTTGCGAGCATTTTTTCAAACTCCCAGTTTCGTTTCGCCTCCTTTAGTTCTTTTGCCTTTTTCTTTTCTAACGCCAGCCTATTTGCCTCCTCTCTCGCCATTCTCTCTTCCTCCGCTTTCTTTCTCTTTGCTTCTGCCTCCTTCCTCTGTTGACGTTCTTCCTCCTCCTTCTCCGCCTGTTTTTTCACGAACGCTGCCATACACTTCAAAGATTCCTCGACTTCTTTACTTAACACCGCCGGCTTTGCTTCTTCAACAATTGCGTTCGAGCTGCTTGATCCTTTATTCGTTTGTATTCCATTATTGTTATGCTGAGATCCTTGAAAATATTGTCGTGGCGCCTGGCATTCTCGTGAGATATGTCCGATCATGCCACAGTTGTAGCATTTAGGACCCTTTCTCTGCCAGCTTCCTCCATTGTTCCAGCCTCCTCCGTTCCCATTGTGGTTCCAATTTCCATTACCTCCACTATTCCAGTTTCCTCCGTTTCCATTGTTCCATCCTCGCCCGTTTCCGTTGTTCCACCCTCCTGGTCCTCCTTCGTTTCCGTTGTTCCATCCTCCTGTTCCTCTGCTATTTCCGTTGTTCCAGCCTCCCGCTCCATTACCATACCACCCCCCTTGACTTCCTTGTCCGCCTTGTCCTCCCCCGTTTCCTTGTGGCGGGCCATGTGCTTCAGTCCCAAAGCCAAACCCGCCATTGCCCCCGTTTCCGTTCATATTCTAGAGCAGAGTAAATCGAGCGCTATCGTGTAGCAGCTAGCTGATCTAACTCTAGTTCCTCCTAGATCCTCCTAGAACTCCAGGGTCACCGAACCAAGTGTGCTCCTCCTGGCCGGTTGCCGCTGTCCTTACCAATTGGAAAGGAAAGCGAGAAGCCGACGTCAAAGAAAAAAGATGTCAGCCGTACGCATCACACAGGCACACTGCAGAATGGCAACATACCAAGTATGTGAAAAACTCGGAATTGAAACTCGGAAAAACTCTTCGGAAGATAGTTAAGTCGAACTAAGAGTAGAGCAGCCATAGCCTACGGGGCTATGGGAGCTCGAGTCTGGTAGCCCTCTACCGGTTTCAGCCGGACCCAGGATCCGGCCTTATCAGGAGGGAAAGTGCAACTCTGAGTCGAGTGTGAATCCTAGAGTGCTAATAAATATCTGCTGATCTACTCAAGAAGCAAACACTGCATGGAAAAATTGCACCGCGTGCAGTCCTCGCGGAAGTTTCATCCTATCGCCGCCGCTTTGGATTTATCAAGAGGCCTATGTAAATCTTCAGTAGTATCTCGAGATTTTCCCAACTTTGAGATTCTAACCTGCCGAGCCAAGTGTCTGTCGGCGCTACTTTTGGATTTATCAAAAAAGGCCCGTGTAACGCTACAGCAATATCGAAGGAATCGAAAAAATATATATACTCATAGGTT